TCAAACGATTTTTATGTTTTTATTTTTTTTATTTTATCATTGTAGTGAGCTGGGGTGTGGGCCTCTTTTAAAACTGCTGGAATCAAGTGATGCTGGGGGTAGGATTCTATCATCAGGGGATGTCCAAAGGCCATCAGTATGTTGTACTGCGCCTATGTTTCTCCACAACAGTATTCTGCTGCTCAGAGAGGTATTCTCGAGAAAAATCAGGAAGGAAGGGAGTCACGTCTGGCTCTGGCATGGCTACATACTGACCAGTGAGGTAGTCTGAAGCACGCTTAGCAGCCACGTCTGCTGCCTCATTTCCTCTTGAGGTTATGTCAGTTCCCTGGGAATGACCAGTGCACTTGATAATAGCCACTTTGCTTGGTAGCATAATGGCTTCAGAGAGCTCTCTTACTTCTTTCTCATGAGTTATTGGTCTGCCAGATGACGTCATAAAGCCACCTCTGATCCACACAGGCAGCTCCACATGTGAAACAGAGATCCCATTCTTAGCATGCAATTATTCCCAAAGTGTTCTATCATTTCTCTTTTGCAAGTCTCTAATTCTTGCCGACGCGTCCCGACCTCTCTAGGTTCCAGTTGGTTCATTATGATTTCACTCATTTTGTCCCATTGCTGACCTAGGGTCACTTCATTATCACGATCGTATTCACTTTCCATGGTTCTCATTGTCTACAGTAGGTATCAATGCCCTGACTTTCCCTAGTTATTTTAACCTCAAAGGTTAATGCTTTCCCTGTCTTTTCCTACTGTTTAATTTAGCGCCTAGTTCGTTTGATTTTCTTTTCTTTTTCTTTTCTATACACACACGGTGACAAAGCCTCTGACTGCTCATCAGAGCACCAGGGAGACGAACACCAACCACCTGACACGTCTCCCACGGGACACAGAACAAGGAATGACGGGGTCCGAAGCACAGCGTGACAAGCACTTTTAAAGCTTTGCCAATATAAGGGGCTCGAAACACAGTGCAAAGAGAGCACTGCTGAACCGCACCCGAATCACTTTAAGCGCGGGGTCCAAAGCACAGCATACAGTAAGAACTGCTGAAACCTTGCCAATATATGGGGCTCGAAACACAGTGCAAAGAAGGCACTGCTGAACCGCGCCCGAATCACTTAAAGCACGGGGTCCAAAGCACAGTGCAAGTACTGTTAAAACTTCGCCCAATATAGGGGCTCGAAACAGTGCCCAGAAAGCACTGTTGAACCGCGCCCGAATTACTTTTCCCCTTCCGTTCACTCTGCCACAATATACATATACAAAAAAAAAGAAAAAGCGGTATCTTATAACGCTACCTCCAGACCTGAGGGTTTCCCGATTCGACACCTTGCAGCTACGTCCGTCGATCATAGGCCTTTTGCCGAACGGGTCTGTTAATTTACTTCTATTCCAAATACAGTTTACTAAACGTGAGCTGTCCTCACAGAACCATCTATCATCTGGTACCCTTCAACTTCAAATTCTCATCGATGTAATACCTCTAAATTTGTTGTTGATCCTTGGTTTTCTCTCACACAAAAATTTTATTTTCAGAAAAAATCAATCTTTAATCTTACATTCAATCAAAGTCAATGCGCTTTCAACGCGGCGGTCGAAAAAATACCTTCCGGAACAATCCTCAATTCAACACTTGATTTAGAGTAATCAATCGCAGAATTTTATTAAAAAGGTTTCTGCTTACCTTCTTATTGGAGGCGCCTCTGTGTTGAATTGCGAATAGCCCTTCCAGTCCAGTGGAAAAAAATCCCCTCCAACCGATCACGTCGCGGTCACCAAATTGTTGGATTTTTTTATATTATTGGGGTCAAAACCCGTAATCCATTGCGTGTTCAAAAACCGAAGAGGAGAACGTGTATTAATAAAAAGGTAGATTTAATAAGTATTATTGCAAGAGAAAAACAAGAAATCAACACGATGCATCGGAGAACCTTCCCGTTCAATTCACAGAAATGATTCTGCCCTTTGTCCATTCGTCATCAGCTTTTAGTCTCACAGATCAGTTGCATTTCCTTTGAAACAAAACTGGAATATTCTGGAGGAAAATCCTTATCTCTTTCTGCCTGGGAAGAGCATAGGGAGTCTTCCTCTCCAAGGCCAGGTATAATGAAACCATTCATACTCGTTATAGTGAGATATGACTTTACAAGAAACCATAGAAAGTTAATAATATTTCCCACAACCTCGCCTTCCATCTCCAACATCCTTCTACCAATGTAACCACTATCCCTCTGTACATGTCTTAACCATCTCAATCTAGCCTCTCTGACTTTGTCTCCAAAACAACCAACCTGAGCTGTCCCTCTGATGTGCAACTTTCCAGGTTTTCCTCCATCTGCTCTCTGCTCTCACTACAGAACACAATGTCATCTGCAAACATCATTGTCCACAGAGAATCCTGCCTGACCTCATCTGTCAACCTGTCCATCACAGCAAATAAGAAGGGACTCAAAGCGGATCCTTGATGTAGTCCCACGTCCACCTTGAACTCCTTTGTCTGACCCACAGCACATCTCACTGCTGTCTTACTTCTCTCATACATATCCTGAACTACTCTGACATACTTCTCTGCCACTCCTGACATCCTCATACAGGATCATAGCTCCTCTCTCGGCACCCTGCCAAACACTTTTTCTAAATCCACAAAGACACAGTGCAGCTCCTTCTGACCATCTCTGTACTTCTCCATTAACATTCTCAGAGCAAAAATTGCATCAGTAGTGCTCTTCCTGGGCATGAAGCCATACTGCTGTTCAAAAATATCCACTTCCCTTCTTAGCCTAGCTTCCACTACTCTTTCCCAAAGTTTCATCAACTCCTCGAAATACTCCTTCCATCTTCTCTGTACACTCTCCTCACTTGTTAGCACCTTTCCATCTCTATCTTTAATCACCCTTATCTGTTGCACATCCTTCCCATCTCGGTCTTTCTGTCTCGCTAATCTATACAATTCCTTCTCGTCTTCCCTCGTGTCTAACCTGGCAACTCTTTTTTTTCAACTTCCACAATTTGTTCTTCCTTTCCATCTTTGCTCCCCTCTTCTTCCTGACTACCAGAAACATCCTACACATCACCATCTGATGCTGTCTGGCTACACTCTC